TCTGTTTTAATATTTAGATTTTTGGTGCATTTTGACTTTAGTTTAGTGCATGGTGATAGACATAGGTCTAGTTTTAGTCTTTGGCATGTGGAAAGCCAGTTTTTCCTGCACCATTTATTAAAGAGGCTGTCTTCCTTCTACTGAACATGTTTGGCCCTTTTGTCAAAGATCAGGTGGCTGACTGTGTTTGTAGTTGTGTCTGCATCTTTTAATGTGTTCCACTGATCTTTAGGTCTACATTTTTGGCACTGCCATGCTGATTTTATCACAGTAGCTTTGTTGTATAGTTTCAAGTCAGGGATTGTGATGCCTCCTGCCTTGCCAGTCCTTGTTGCCCAGGATTTCCTTTGCTATTCTTGATCTCTTCTGGTTTCAAATAAATTTTTGGAATGTTTTCTCTAGATCTGTGAGGTATGCTAATGTTTTGACTGGGGTTGCATTCAATCTGTATAACAATTTTGGGAGTATGGCCATTTTCACTGTAGGTTCTTCCTATCCATGAGCAAAGGAATATCTTTCCATTTTCTGATAGCTTTTTTTATCTCCTTTTTCAGAGTTGTGTAATTTTCAATATTTAGATCTTTTATATCCTTTGACTTTCAGTCGATGAATTTCCTTTTGAGTTAAATGTGTTTCTTGTGTACAGCATATTGTTGGATTTTGTTTCTTGATCCACTCTGCCCGTCTATTTCTTTTGATTGGTGAATTGAGGCCATTTACATTGATGATTATAACTGATATGTATTGGTTTATCTTTTCCATGTTATTTTCCTGCTCTTGGTTCCCTGCTTTCCCCCTCTGTTTAACTGCTTGCCCTGCCTGGTACTTTCATTCTGATGTTGTTCTCTGAATTGTGGTCATTCTTGTCTCTATCTAGAATATCTTTCAGTACTCTTTGTAGGTTGGTTTGGTGGTCATGAATTTCTTCAGTTGTTCTTTCTTGTGGAATTCTCTTATTTCTCCATTGATTTTGAAGGATAGTTTTGTACGATACATCAGTCTGGGTTGACAACAAATATTGATCAAAAGCTTTGGGAAAGCTGGGCCTGGTGATGTAAGCCCATAATCCCAACCCTCTGAGAGGTTGAAGCAGGAGTATTACAAGGGCTGGGATATTGCTCAATGTAAAGCCCTTGGCTTCAACCCCCAGTACTACCAAAAAGAAAGTTTAAAAAAGCTTGAGGGGCAAATAACCTGATTATCCCTATCTTTGAGGAAGTGTTAATGTAATATAAATATTAATTTGGATATATAGTGGTTCTAACATTTGTGTATCATCATTTCCACCTACAGCTAATAAGAGATATGCTTAACGTCTGTGAAACTCATTTATTTAAACGGAACCCACCATCTCTAGCCAAATATCGGGCTTTAAGATGTAAAATTGAGCATGTTGAACAGAATACTGAAGAATTTTTTAGGATTAGAAAAGAGTTACTACAGAATAATCACAGGTAAGCATAAAGGAAATATTTGGGATCAGTTTTGATGAAAAGCTCTATGAGAGTCTGTTAATTAACTGACCAGGATAATTATGTAGAAAATTCAATCCCTGGTACTGTAACAAAATAGCTATAGTATAAACAATGAATTTCTTTCTTCTGTGTTTATAACAGGGCCTGAAGTAGTTTTCTGTTCTTGCAAACACTCTCTACTATTCCACTTTGATTTTTGTTCTCTATTTTTTTAAACAGGGTCTTGCTGTGTAGTTCAGGCTGGCACTGAACTCACTATGTAGCCCAAGCTGGCCTTGAACTTGAGGCAATCCTCTTACCTCAGCCTCCCAAGTGCTGCGATTACAGGCATATGTAACCATCCCTGGCTATGGGTTACCTGATCTTAATGAGGATTAAATTTAAGTTTTTTTAAAAATAATAAACCTAGAGAAATCTTTACTCCAAATAAAAAATAAATAAATAAAATAAATTTAAGTTTTAGGAGCTGGGGGCCAAGTTTTAGGAGCATCGGGCTCATGGAAAGAATGCTTGCCTAGCATGGGAGAGGTCCTGGGCTCAATCCTCTAAACACTGCCAAAAAAAAAAAAAAAAATTAAAAGATGTTTGAGTCTGTTTTGACAGGCTTATATGGAAAATTCATTTAAACTAAGATTTCTGCATGCAGCATTATGAATGTACCAGCTTCTAACGTGACCACTCTGTGGTGTTAAAAAGCTGGAAACATGTCAAGAAGTATGGCACCCTTAAATCCTGGTTCCATCTGTGTCCTCACACTGTGCTCCTGGGCCTGCCCATGTGCATCCACAGTGACAGGGTACGCGATGGCGCCGTGGCTCATGAGGCTGTGTGGGTGTCACAACTTGGTCCTGGGTCAAGGTTCAGAAACTCCTCTGATTGCTGTTCTAGAGGAGGGGTGGCGCTCTACCAACCCATCATCCCCACAGTGCCCTCACTCCAGAAGTCTTTCTCCTGGGCATTTCTGCCATCTTACATTTCTTTCTCATGGGTCTGGTTTACCCTGCACACTCATTAGAACCAGTGGTGGTGTGATGTCATCATCTAAAGCAGCTTACAAGAATCAAGTGTCAAACATAAAATTTGGAATTTTTGAACTGTTATGTGTGAACTGGTCATTAACCCATTAGTACCTGGAATTGGCCATCGGGGGAGGATTTACACTGTGGAAATCAGGTCAGGGTTGTGAATGAGAGTTCCTGTCTTAGTTGTTCTTGAGAGCTGGTTTTTCAGCACCTGCTACACAGCCACTCCTCCCTTGTGGACTAATTCAGATCTGTCCAAAATTATATTCTGCTTCCCTTGGGCAGTCATCCTTACAGTCCATTTCTGATTCCTCTCACGTCCACTAAGATGGCTGTAGTGGTTTTTTTCTTTTTTTTTTTTTTTTTGGTACCGGGAGTTGAACTCAGGACCTTGCACTTGCCAGGCAGGCACTTATGCCACTGAGCTCTCTCCCTAGCCAGCTATAATTTTTTAAATTGGAAACTATGTGTCAAAGATTTGCCTTTTGACCTGGGTGTCTGGTACTGATTAAGAGCCTAATGAAGTGAAGATAGAATCAGGAGGTGAATGTGGCTTTCTCCTTGGGAAAGGGAAGGAAGAGCTCTGTGAAGCCCTGGGGCCTTGTAATGCAGTCCTTGGGTAGTTCATGCCCCACCCACGCAAGCATTAAAATATTTCTGCAGCACATGTGGGCCTCTCCTAGGGAAAGATTCTGGTGCTCCAAAAAACTACATTTGTTCCATTTCATTTCAGGAATGATGATGATTTCATAGAAATTTTTCCTAGCTAACAGCAGTGTCTGTGATGATTAATCTTGACTGATTTGATGAGTGTAAGAGCCACCTAGGGGGTTAGTAAGGCACGCTTGTGGGTGTGCTTGGGTACTTGACTTTGGGGACTGTGTGTGATCCTGGCCCTTCCTCTCTGGTGCTCTTCTCCTGCATTCTGCCTCCTGGCCACCATGATGTTCCTGCCTTAGAGCTGTCTCACAATGGGTTGAAACGTCTGAATCAGATGGCCAAAGAAACCCATTTCCTCCTTCACTTTATGTGAGTCTGGCATGTTGTCCTGCTGCTAGAAAGCTGACCAATACAATGTCCTTTGCTGAAAGTTTAGAAACCGTGTAAAACTATGAAGAAAGTTAAAAAGCACCCCACATCTCACCACCCAGAGATAATACAATCCGTGTTAACATCTTGGTGTAGAACATAGCCCATGCGGAAGGTGCTGGTAGGCCAGCTGTCTGCAATGAAAGTCCCAGTTGGTAACTTTGTAGATTTCTGTGGTGTGTAGGTCCCCTCTGTAGTCAACAGCGAGGAAGCTGTGGGGTGCCTCTGAGCGAGGGGCTGAGAGGGTGCCTAGTGGGCTCTCCTGGCCCTTCTTCAGCCCATAGCACCCACCTGCAGCAGCACCCCAGCCTCTTCCCTTGTCTCCCCATTGTTCGCCTGCCCAGAATGGCCCATCCCCACATCATCATGTCCGTTCTGCCTCCAGAACATCTTTCACCCATTAGCTTCCTTTCCATCTCTCCTGCTATCTTCGGGACAGATCGCGTTGTCCTGTCCACTCTGCTGCCTCCTGCTCCCTCACACTCTCTGCCACTCCTCTGGCAACCTGCCCCCCATTTCCTGTTAACACCCGGTTAGATCTTAAAATGACATTGTAGGTGGACATGGTGGTGCACACCTGTAATCCTGGCACTTGGGAAGCTGAGTCTGGAGGATCACTGCAAGTTGGAGGCCAATCTAGGCTATATAGTACGTTCAAGAACTACATAGAGACTGTTTCAAAACAAAGCAGAACAGATCAGAATCTAAAACAAAAGAGAAACATACACATTGTGTTACGCTATGTTGCAATAAATGTCACTTCTAAGAGGTGGCATTCCTGACCACCCATTCTCTGAACCTGGTGGGTTTCCTTAATACGTAAAAGAAGATATTTGATAATTTTGTAATTTTATCATATTAGAATGAAAACTCCATGAAGCCAATGGTGATGTTCTTTTTTTTTTTATTTTAAAAATAAAAGAAGGAAAACATATTAACAAACATATGTCCATTTACAAAATAACATAAGAACAGTACAAACAATACAGAGTTACAGACAAAGTGGTATGAAATTAACAATGGTTGTTGTATTACGTATTGATATGTTCAAGGTAGTTTCTCAGGAAAACCAATAGACACATGCAGTATTGATCAAACAAGTAATCATTAACTGTTCCTTTCAGTAAAGCAATAGAAGACAGTAGTACAACTGTATTAGCTATCCTGTATATACATACATATGTAATTTCCCCTTCTTTCCCTTCTCTTTTCACACACCCCAGTTGCCCTTTACTTTTGAGCATTTTTCTTTCATTTCACAATGCCAATGGCCATATTCTTATTGCCAGTGCCGAGAATATTCAGTACAGATTATGTTTGTTGAGTCAGTGAACCCATTCAGTTATAATGCATATAAATATATCAATGAACTTGTACATTTTCCATGTTATACAGTTGACAAAGTTTGACATCACATTATGCTTAAAGATTTGCGATCTTTTAAACTTTATATTTTACTATAGGGGCATTTTTCCACCTGCTACTTCACCCTGTTGCTGGTAGTCATAGGAACTTGTCCTGGGACATGACCCTTTCTTTTTCTGGCCATCATCTGTAAAAACTCAATAAAATCTTTTATTTCAGAGAAAAAATATGGGGCTGGGGATTTAGCTCAGCGGCACAGTGCCTGCCTGGCAAGCGCAAGGTCGTGAGTTCAATTCTTGGTACAGGGGAAAAAAAAAACAGAAAAAATATATTTTATAGTAAATTTTATGTCTGATCCTTATGTTTTATAATACTGTGATTTTTTTTTTAACGTCTATGTAGCATTGCTAAGAAACATTTTATTGTGATTCATTGAATTGGTTCCCAGACAATGAACATTTGAGGTTTTTGGAATTTCATATTAAATTCTGATTTTTTTGTTTTGCTTCTGATTATGCAATCTCAAGGTTTTGCTTCTAATTCTTACAGTGAAACTTCAGTAGACATCTTGCAGATATTTAGCATTGGCAGAGTGAATGAAGCCACAGAGTTTTTGAGCAAACTTGGCAATGTGAGGTCCTTGTTGCACGGATCTCCTGTACGAAACATTGTAGGAATCTTGTCCCGGTAAGCATGTGGACTCTTTAGCTTTCTAAATTTTTAGGCTCACAAGTGTGAGCTGCCTTTCTTTCCTCCTTTTTCCCAAACTATATAGATCATATAACAAATACTAATTTGCCTGTGGTAAAAAAGGAACTCACCTAGATTGTTGGTGGGAAATGTAAACTAGTACAACCATTATGAAAATCCGTATGCAGACTTCTCAAAGAATTAAAATTAAAAATTCCATATGCCCCAGCTATCCCCCTTCTACGTATCTTCCCCAATGAGTTTAAGACATTATGCTACAGTGATACCTGTATAGCAGAGTTTATAGCAGCACAGTTCATAGTAGCTAAATCCCTGAAGCAGCCTCTCAATGGATGATTCAGTAGAGGAAATGTGGTGCCTATATGTAGTGGAATACTGCTCAGCTATAAAGAAGGACAAATTTGAGATATAGGAAAACAGATGCACGTGGAAAATATGATATTGAGTGAAATAAATCAACACGCAAGTTCTGTATAGTGTGTCTCACTTGAGCAAGGCAAAGTATAAACGAGGTCCAATAACCTCAGTGAATGTGGATATTATATGCTATAAACATAAACTAATGTTAATAATATCAACAAGAATAAAAAAGGGGAAAGGAGGAATTAGAGGAGGAAGGAGGGAATGGGTACGACAGGGAATTAAAGAGAAAAAAGAAGCTGTGTTTTGTACATGTACCAACTCCACAAGATGATTGCAAAATGTATTACTGCAAATGTGTACTAATAAGAAAAACTATGTAGGTCTTTGATCCCAAGGACATGGGTCTTTTTAATTAAAAGCAGATAATTTAGTATATTCTAGAGAAAATTATGTACTTTATCATTAAGTAGGTAATCTAAGTTACATCTTTGTTTTAGAAAACAATTTTATTCTCTTACAATATCCAAAAATTGGTGTGTTATATTTTAATCCATTAGAATTTTTGTAGTGAAATACTTCAAGTCATTATTAAAGAATAAATTCCCATTTGACTGTATTTGTTATTTTTTTAACTTTCTTTTGTCTTTTTGAAACAGGGTTTCATTTCATTTTTTTTTTTTTTTTTTTTTTTTGGAAACAGGGTTTCATTATGTAGTTCAGACTGCTTTGAGCTCATTTTGTTGCCCGTGCTCACAGCAATCCTCCTGCCTCAGCGTCCTAGAGTGCTGGGATTATAGGCATGTGCCACCATGCCTGGCCAGTATTTGTAATTGTTTAAAAGTGTGTTACACAGATGTGATTATTTCCTGGAGTCTGTGTTGCATGAAGAGAGTCATTTCATGACTCTTCTGTGTGTATCTAACCTTGGGATATTCTAACACTTAAATTGAAAGGTCTAAAAATTAGTGCCCATATACTGTGAATTATTTATTTACACACAATTCCAATTTTTTGTTTGCTTTCAATAGTGTAATATATTAGGGCTAAAACTGAAGTCACAGGTGCAAGGGGGAGTTTTGAGTACCTTTATATCCTTTAATCCAGTACTTAAGAAACTTAAAGGCTGAGATATAGCTCAGTGGTAGAGAGCTTGCCTAGAATGCATGAGACCCTGGGTTTGATCCCCACACTGCAAAACAAAGCAAACAAGCCAGAAGCAAGTTAAGAAATACATAAACTGGGCATGGTGGCACACACCTGTAATCCCAGCACTCTATGAGGGAGAAGCAGGAATATCGAAAGTTTATACCTAAACTGAGAAACCCAGAAACTAGTGAGGCCCTGGCTCAAATTTAAAATAAGAACTGAGGATGTTTCTTAAGACCCTCAGTTCAATTCCCACTACTGCAAAAATAAAGAACCTTAAAAAACAAAAACCTCTTAACATAAAATTCAAACCGTAGATGTTCACAGCCGGGCATGGTGGCGCTCGCCTGCAGTCCTAGCACTCTGGAGGCTGGGACAGGCAGGTCATGAGTTCACAGAGGTCAAGGCCAGTCTGGAAGATATGATGAAACTGTCTCAAAAGCAAATTAACAATAGATGTTTATATCATAAAAGCTAAAGTCTCCCTTTACCTGTCTTTCTGGAATAACTGTGGTTTCACTGGGACTGTGAAGCGTCCTCTGAAAGCTAGAAGCCCAGCAGAAACCTGCACAAGGTCCCAAGGGGCAGATGCAGTCAACCTGCGGCTTACACTGGGCCTCCCCTGGAGAAGGCAAAGCTGGCCATGATGAGAAGCCATGGCTGCTGATGTTTCTTTGGCCCACAGACCTCCTGGGGGACTGCAGTAGTCCCTGGTATGCCTGCGAAGTTGTTTCTAGGACCCTCTCACCAAAATCTTCCCATTCTTGAGAGTCTCGTATAAGATGGTGTAATCTTTCCATATAACCCATGTAGTTGCTCCGATATACTTAAATTATGTCTTGATGACCTATAACACCTTTTAATAATAAAATTATTTTATATAATATTATATTTTATAATACAGTAAAAATGTCACAGGACTAGCTGTTATACCATGTTGTTTAGGGAATAGTGACTAGCGAAAAGTCTGTATGTGTGCAGTGGAGGCAAAGTTAACTTTTTCCAAGTATTTCCAACCTCTGGCTGACTCTGGAAGTGGACCCACAGGAAGAGAGTGCCAGCTGTACTTTGACACACATTCTAAATGTTGTGCGTGTTGTGCTTCCAAATTAGCATCTGTCCCACTAGAATTATGAACCTAAAATAGATTCCTTTTTCTGGCAGATCTTTATAATGCTCTCTTCTTTTCAGAGGGTTGCTTTTACCCAAAGTAGTTGAAGATCGTGGAGTGCAAAGGACAGATGTTGGAAATCTGGGGAGTGGTATTTACTTCAGTGACTCGCTTGGGTTAGTATGCTGTCTCTTGCACCACTTACTCATGCCATCCCCCAGGAATCACTACTAAATCTGCTGTATATTTTCTTCCATCTCTTTTTGGTGAAGGGGTTTTTCACCCATGATACAGATCATAAAACGCAACCAGTTTTCTCAGAATACCACAGAAGCATCTTTTGTGGTGCATGTTTTGGGAAATTATATTTGAAATCATCTTAGTCATTATACTTTCCTTAGAGTTGTTACATATACTTTCTCACTCAACGCTTACAATGCCCTGAAGTAAGTCCTCTTACTCTCCTCATATCCCAAACGGAAGCACAGGGGATCTCACCTCAGCAGGTACCACTAAAGCGGGATGCAAGGCCAGGCATGGTGGTGCATGCCTGTGATCCCCACACTCAGGAGGCTGCGGCAGGAGGATCCCCAAGAGTTTGAGCCAGCCTACATTGTGAGGTCAACTCCAGCCTGAACTACATAGCGAGACTCTGTCTCAAAAAAACAAATAGAAAAAGGGGATGCAGGACAAGCCGGACCTTTGCAGTCATTCTCCAGAGCCGGCATCCTGGCGTCTGCAGCCCACCGCTCCTGCCCCAGGGAGGAGGCTCAGCTAAGCACTTGCCCACGTAGCTGGTTTCGTTATCATTCTTTAAACATTTAGATTATATGTTCCTCTGTACAAAACAGTACAAGGTGAAATTTTTAGATGCTGCCATATTTTTGTGGATATTCAGGTGATTCTGAGGAAAGTGCAGTCCTCAAGGACTGTCACAGGTGGCTTCAGTGAGGACAACTGAAGAGAGAAGTCTGATGCTCCAGCCTCTAGATGCAGTCGGTTTTCTGTTGGTTGTACTTGTTTAAAAAGCAGAAATCCAAACAGAGCAAATGGTGGTGGATTGAGCAGTGAGAAGAGACGGTGTTGGGCTGAAGGGAGTGGTGAGGGGAAGGAAGGGAGTGGTGAGGGGAAGGAAGGGAGTGGTGAGGGGAAGGAAGGGAGTGGTGAGGGGAAGGGAGTGGTGAGGGGAAGGAGGTGAGGTTGAGAGGGCCGAGGTCGGGTTTGGTGGGGAGGACTCCGGGGTGTTTGCAGGTTACAGAGGCGCTCACAGAAGGGAGGAAGTGTGTAGAAGGAATGGGAAACTGGTTCTTTTTCTAAAAAATACAAGTCTTAGGGTGTGGAGCAAAGGAAGGTCCCCCTGGTGAGGCTCGACATTTTGGACGTGACCTTCAAAAATATAAAGGTGTGCTGCTAAAATGGTCCCCCCCAAAGTACCCCTAACCTGTGCTCCAAACAGCAAGGTGTATTTCATTAAAGCTGCTGATCCCCAAAGAAAGGAGTCAGAGTCTCTCGTTTGGGGATCATTTTAAAATTAACTAAGAGAAGAGAGATGTCTAATGCTCCTATACCCTAGATGCAGTCAATTTAATTAATTAATTTATTGGTTAAAATTAGGTAATTACTTTATTGGGTTTTTTTTGAGAGGGGAGGTTTGAGACAGGGTTTCGCTATGCAGTTCAGACTGGCCTTGAGCTCACTTTGTAGCCCAGGGTGGTCTTGAACTCACAATGATCCTCCTGCCTCAGCCTTCTGAGTGCTGGGATTACAGATGTGTGCCACCACGCCTGGCACTATTGGTTTCTTTTGAGAGAGGCTCACTATATAGTTCAGGCTAGCCTTGAACTATATAGCCCAAGCTGGCTTCAGATTTGCCGCAGTCCTCCTGCCTCAGCTTCCTACATGCCGGGATTGCAGGTGTGCACCACCACACCTGGCTGAAATTTTTATTTCTACATTTGGATTTAAGAGGCATTGTGAGAATACAATGGCTGTCTTTCCCTTTGAGCAGTTCTTACTCGCTTGGTACTTACTGTGCTTTCTGAACTGTAATGCAGAAAATTCAGTATAATCTCCCAGACTAATAAGGTAGACTATTTTTCTCTGTCATTTACGAGAACAGAGCATGTATGTTTTAGTAGCTAACAGATTTGGGGGAGCAATACAACTCATTTCTTCATAGGAACAAAGCGCATTGAGCACCGCATAAGAAAGAACAATATATGCATTTGTTATATAAAAATATTTTGTGTTATGGGATTGAACCCAGGGCCTTTGTAAGGAGCTGCATAACCAGCCCTTTTGGGTTTTTATTTTGAAGCAGTGTCTCACTAAAATGCTAAATTGCCCACGCTGGCTCAAACCTGTAATCCTCCTGCTTGAGGGCTGGGGTTACAGGCGTATGCCACCACACTCAGTTTCGTATTACAACTTTTAAATGTGACTGAGTGTGTTTCTCCATGGTAGAGGGCTTGCCTACCATATGTAAGGCCCTGGGTTCAATCCCTAGCACTACAAACAATTTAATCAGTGAAGTCCATAGTGAGCTTCTAACTTGAATATTTGGAGATATTTCAGTAACAATAATATTTAGAATGGTTTACTAGGAGAGCTTTTTTTTTTTTTTCCTTCCAGCATTGTAGGTTGTATATGCCTTACCTGAAATGCTTGGAACCAGAAAAAAATATGTTGAACTTTTGGATTGTTTTCAGATCTGGGAATATTTGTGTTTCTATAATGAGCTATCTTGGGGGTCTAAACATGAAATCCATTTATGTTTTCTATACACTTTCTGCACCTAGCCTAAAGGTGGTTTTATACACTATTTTTAGTGTACCTGCATTTTGATGACAACTCATCAGATGAGATTAAGGTATGGAATTTTACATTTGTGTCATCCTGTTGATACTCAAAAATGTTTTGGAGCGTTTCAGATCTTGGATTCAGATTTCTGGATCAGATATATTCAACCTGTGTTTTCTGTTTATGTAATAACATGTTGACATGTACCGGTAAGTTCTGAATATGTGTTTATTTCCTATCACATGCAGTACAAGCATTAAATACTCACACCCAGGAGAAACAGATGGTTCCAGACTCCTGGTTATCTGTGATGTGGCCCTCGGAAGGTGTGTGGACTTATTCAAGAAGGATTTCTCCTTAACTGCAGCACCTCTGGGCTATGACAGTGTACATGGAGTTTCAGCAACAGCCTCTGTCCCTACAGACTTTGAGGTATTTTTATGTCAAGAAATAGGCAGGGCTGGGGGTGTAGTTCAGTGGAAGAGCACTTGCCTTGCCTGGCATGATTAAGGCCTTGGGTTTAGTCCTCAGTATTACAAACAGAAAAACAGACAGGTTAAAAAAGAAAAACAGGCAAAGAAAGATCTGAATGCCCAAAGAACAGCCTATTTTTATTAGTTATGCTTTTACTTAAATTATTATTGTATATCTACTGCCTGGATTCAGAGCTTTCTAGGTTAGCAAATGTGAAAATTCTGCTTTTTTGAGATCATTTACTTATGAAGGTCTGTTGTTGTTTTTACCATCTGTTAATTTCTATTTGTTCTAGGATGATGAATTTGCTGTATATAAAACCAATCAGATTAAAGTGAAGTATATTATTAAATTTTGCATGCCTGGAGATCAAATAAAGGACTTTCACCCTCATGATAATAGTAAATTAGAGGAATACATTCCTGAGTCTTCAGATACCTCAAAGGTTGAAAGTAAGACAGTTTTCTGAAATGCTGGATATTTTGGTGATAATATTTATAGAAGTGAAACATTTTCAGTGGAATTTATATTCATGTCTGATAATATCTATAATCTCACACATAAATATGTCATTTTCTTTTTTATTTCATACACATAAAAACCAGGTTGCTTGAGAAAGGTTGGGTGATCTCAAACTTCCATGTCCTGTCATTAATATCCCTAAATTGAGTGTGTTCCCCTCAGGAATAACCAATATGAAAGTCTGCTGTAGTTGTCTGTCTTTTGTTACTATAATGAAATAACTGAGGCCAGGTATGTTATTGAAAAGAGGAATGTGTAGCCTAGAGATTCTGGCAGATGGAGGGCAAGGTAGAGGGAGGGAGGGTCCTCCAGGCAAACTCCTCCTCTTAAAGGCCCCACTGCCCCACACATCACTGCACTGGGGACCAAGCTTCCAGCACATGAACCTTTGGGGGCCGAACCACTTCTAAGCCACAGCACCTGTGGAACAATTTTAAGATGCCAAAAGTGCAAAAAGTACAATTGAGATGAACAGAATAGAAAGAAGAGAGCTTTAGAGTCAGGATACTTGATTTAAGTGTCCGCTCTACTGCTTAATAGGCTATGCAAATGGATAAATTTGTTTTGGACAAATCTTATAACCTGTCTGCACTCCAGCTTCCCTCAGATAGGAATGAGAATGGTACCTGTGTGCTGTAAGGGTGAAGAGGAAGAGTGACAGTCCAACATGGACTGTAATGAGCCCCTTATGTACCCTTAGAAATACAGTTACATAAGAGCGTGAGAGCTTCTCAGAAATTCATGAGCCCAAGCTATTATAGTACTACTTAATAGCACTGAAAAGCATGTTAACAGACTGGCTGTGGTGATGTGTGCTAATAGTCCCAGCTGCTCGGGAGGCTGAGGTAGGAGAATCGTTTGAGCCCAGGAATTCAAGATCAGCCTGGGTAACACAGCCAAATCCTGTCTCCAAACCAAACCAAATGAACCTGTCCCATCCCCATCCCAGTCGCCGCCCCTGCGCCCGCCCCCGCCCCCATCCCTATCCGTATCCCTTTCCCCATTTTGTCTGTGATTACATTATGTATTTATTTACTTATTTAGTGCCAGGGATTGGATGCACGGCTTGCATATATGCTAGGCAGGCACTCTGTGACTGAGTTATATACCCATTAAAAAACTTTTTTTAATCAGAAGTGCATGTATTAGCTGGGCTTCGTACGGCATCCCTGTAATTTCAGCAATGGGAGGCTGCAGCAGGAGAAACAAAAGTGCGAACCTAGCGTGGACAACTTAGTGACTTAGTGACTTAATGAGATTTTCTCCCAAAATAAAAAGATAAAAAGGGCTGGGGATATAACTCAGTGCAAGGTCCTTGGGTTCAGTTCCCAGTATCACACATGCATGTTCAAGTGGGTGACTCAGATTTTTTTCTCATTAAATGAAATATGCAACAAGCCTGGAGATGTAGATGATATAGGTATATAGATACAGATATCTCCATATCTGATTTTTGTACTGGTTGGTATATGGTGCAGTGGTAGAGTTTGATTTAGTCTTCTTGGAGTGAAAAATCTAGATAGTTTCGTATTGCTCTAGAATGCTTCTGTGGCACAGTAGATAACTGTGACTGGTGACTGACAATTTCAGCATGGCAAGGGGATGCAGGTAGCTCGGTTTGTGTCTTAGCTGTGCTTATTGAGATATTCTAAGCCGCTGTGTATGTGTGTGAATGCTGAAGTGTAAATCTTTTGAGGAATAGCATCACTCCATATTTTTGAAATGACACTTCAAAGTCTCTTGTTTAGAAAAGGCAGAGTGAGGCAGGAGTAGAGACCCATGGTGGAGGACTTAACATTATCAAGTCCTGTGTTTAGTCCCCAGTACTGCAAAATAAATGAGTACAATTTAAAAATGAAAAAGGCACAAGTGCTTTGAGGATGCTCCCCTTTTTCTCAAGTAGAGCTATTCACTTTTCAGAATTAGCTATTGAAAATAATAATACGTCGCTTGTTCATTTTTTCCCAAAATGTAATATATGCAGGCATAGAGCAGGAATAAAGGTCAAGATAACAAAAATCAATAGGGCAGGGATGGTTTTAAAGGCTAACACTGATGCTTGTAATATGCAGATTACCAGATACCAGACCTCAAGCCTTCCAATGTCAAGGCCGGCCTTCAGGATGCTTCTGGAAACTTGGTTCCTCTTGAGGGTGTTCACATCAAGGGGAAAATAATAGACTTTGTAGCCCAGGTATGCTTTCTATGCTTTTATGATGGCTGACTAGTTGGATATAAGTCATAAATGAGAATTTGATTGCAGTTATATCAACTAAAAATCAAATATGCACATTGCAATGTTTGTTTAGAAAATAATATGGCAAGGAAAAACTAGTTCATAAGTGTTAGTACAGATGTAAGCCCAGCAATGTGGAAGACTGAAGCAGGAGAGTCACAAGTTTGAGGCTGCCATGGGAAACTTAACAAGACATCATCTCAGTATAAAAATAAGGAAAGGAGACGACGACTGGGGATACAGCTCAGGTTGGCACACCCCAGGTTCTGGGCACAATCCCCACTACAACCACCACCACCACCAAATAAAAAGTCCACAACATGGAAAGGGCTCTTTCCCCAGCCATCTTATTAGGAGCTATGTTGCCTCTACTAGATCATAAGTAGGGCACACACTTGTGCCCTAGGCATGTGTGTGTGAACACCTGAATGTATTTGTCACTGGCATTTTGTCACCTGGTGGGGACTCTTTGGAATGTTAGAGTGCATTAGCCTCTGAAGTGAGAGGTAGAAATTTGAGGGACATGATAAAAATTCAAGGACTCATACAATGGAGTTCTGTCCTGCCATAAAGAAGGATGACCTTGAGTCGTTTGTAGGAAAATGGATGCACCTTGAGACTGTAATGTTGTGAAGTAACAGACACAGAAACATAAATATTTAATGATTTCTCTTATGTGAAAAGCTCAGTACATACAAAGTACAAAATAAAAGAGAAAAAATTCAAGATATCTAAAGTGAACATGTATAATGTATATAGAAGGTATATTTTCAGATTTTGTCTGCAAAGATTGTTCCATGTGGTTTATTTAAGTTTGTGGATTCTTTTTTTGTTGTTCTTCAGGTCGTAGTGTTTCAGACCTACACGAATCAAAGTTGCGTGCCCATTGAGGCGAAGTACGTCTTTCCCCTGGATGACAAGGCAGCTGTATGCGGCTTTGAGGCGTTCATCAACGGGAGGCACATAGTGGGCAAGGTGAGGGGCGGGATCTCTGCCGTCAGGGTCGCGGTGGCTCTCAAGCTGAGCAGCAACCTTTAAAAATATTACATTCCTTCAAAGAACCACCTCCCACTGTTGACCTCTACGTAAACATCCCTTCCTGATTAGCTGGCTTCTCTCCCTACCTGTCCAGTTTTCATCATCATTATCTTGAAAATTCTTTGCTTAGGCAATTTTTTAAAAAGAAATTTCAATATCAAAAGTTTAAGAGAAGTCAAGTTGAAAATTGATGGAGCCCTGATATATTTTTGCAAAAATGACTCCTCTGTACCTTGCGGTAGAAGTCCAGCTGAAGTGGAGGCTGTTACTGTAATTCTCCAAGAAAAGTTGTACCAAAGAACTGGTTGCACTGTGGATGTAGCTCAGTGGTAGAATGTTTGAGGTCCTAAATTCAATTCCCAGCACTGGAAAGAAAGCCAGAAAGAGAGAGATCAAGGGAGAGTAGAAAGGAATGAAAATTGATTCATTCTTTGTTTGAGGACTAGCCCATGCTTGCCGTTATAACGTATAATTTATAATAAACTTTTTTATTGTTTACTATGAAGTTCCAGGTTTTTTCAACTACTGATTCTGATGTGTGTGTGTGTGTGTGTGTGTGTGTGTGTGTGTTACTGAGGATTGAACCCAGGGTCTTTGTCCTCTTTATTTATTGTGATAAGATCTCACTAAGTCAATATGTTGCCTGGGCTCAAACTTGCAACCTTCCTACCTCAGCCTCCCAGAGTGTCGGGATTATAGGTGTGCACTATCAGGGCTAGATGTCTCTGAAATACTTTAATCCTAATTTGCAGAGATTTCTACTTATTTGTCCTTCTCTAGTTCAAATTTTTATCAGACAAATACATTTTGATGATCTTATTACATGTTTTCATTCATCTTAAGACTTAGTTTTCTGTTTTCAAAAAAGCATTAATGTAACTTTCCCTATTAAAGTCTGAGATTGTAATGGGATCAGTAGGTCCTTTGTCTTGTGCAGTATTGAAGTCAGACAGAGTAGTTCTGAAGCAGCACGGCACAGTGCCCCATAGACAGGACAAAGATACATTGCAATTTTATGGGGCCTCAAAAAGTATATAACTAATACTGATTTTTTTCTCCCAAAAAATAGGCTTGTATAAGTGGAATTTGTTAATGCACAGGTGCTAGTTTTACACACAGCTCAAATCATGGGTAGAAAAATGCATTACAAAATGCAGTGAAGTGAAGAGTCAGCTGTCAGATTCTTTGCCTTTTTTCCTTTCCTTTTCTCTCATGTGCAGTACAGGGGATTGAGTCAGGGTCTTTGCACTGAGCTACATCCCCAGTTCTTTCCTATTTTTAATTTTGAGACAGTCTCACTGTGTTACCAGATTTCCCAGGCAGAGTGTGAACTTGCGATCCTCTTTCCTCACACTCAGGATGCTGGCGTCACAGCCGTGTGCCACCAGCCCCACTCCCACCTGTTTCTTCCCGTTTGCCCTCAGCTTACCATTTTCATGTCTTCTTCACTGCAGTACCACAGCTGTCTGTCCATTTTTCTATATTACAGTTGCCTCAAGGTTTTGCCTAGCAACTCACTGTTGTGAGTCACTCTCACTATAATGGGTCCTTTTTTTTTTTGTTGTTGTTTTATTTTGCTTTTTGGGACAGGCTCTTGCTATGTAGTACAGGCTGGCCTTGAACTTGCTTATGTAACCCAGGCTGGCCTCAAACTCAGGGCAGTCCTCCTGCCTTACCTTCTCGAGTGCTAGAATTACAGTGTGTACCACTACACCCAGCATAATGGTTGTTTTTTTTAAAAATGCCTTCCAGATTAAGGAGAAGGAAGAAGCCCGACAACAATATCGCGCAGCCATCAGCCAAGGCCATGGTGCATATCTGATGGACCAGGATGCGCCGGTATGTACTCGTGGAGAGGGAGTGATATGAAACTCACCTTAGACACCAGGGTAATTTACACAATGCTGAGCTTGCAAGATCCCTTATCTTGGGATGCCAAGCTAATCAGACCCATTCATCCTGTCTAAAGAAAGGAGGGGACAATATCAGTACTACCCAAAAAACACAAGAAACTCTTCTGTCACTGGGAACTGAGTTTCCCAGAATTAATAGCAAAAAGAACACATTTGAAGTACATGATTTTTATATTCTGGTAAAAGAATGTAACATGTTGCCTTTCAGCTGGAACCACCATCTTCCAGTAATTTGCTGAAATGATGAATACAAAGGGAAAGAGAGTGGGATCGTGGTGTATGTTCCTTAGGTCTTTTAGAAAACATGGGGTTGTTCTTTGGCCTCATACATGCATGTGAAAGGGTGATATTGTAGACATCAAGGGAATGGGTACTGTGCAAAAAGGAATGCCACACAAATATTACCATGGCAAAATAGGAAGAATCTATACACTGTTAGCCAGCACGCTGCTGGCGTTGTTGTAAACCAGCAAGGTAAGGGCAAGATACTTGCCAAGAGGATTAATGTGCATATTGAGCACATTAAACACGCAAAGAGTCAAGGTAGCTTCCTGAAATGTGTTAAGGAAAATGAGCAGAAAAAGAAGGAAGCCAAAGAGAAAGGTACCTGTGTTCAAAGGAAGCACCAGCCTGCCCCGCCCAAAGAAGCGCACTTTGTGAGAACTGATGGGAAGAGGCCTGAGTTGCTGGAACCTGTTCCCTATAAATCCATGGCATAAGCTGGGCATGTAGCTCTGCCATTCAGCACCTAGTTGGCAGCTGAGTGTTCTAGGCCCTACTTAAACATAAAAAATCGCCCTGTGTTGAAAGGATGGTTTTCTTCATTGAACAGGTATATGGAGCCTTTACCTCAGAAACAAATACTTGGAGCAGATTTTCATTCTACCTAGTTAATTGTCGGGTCTTTACTCTTCAGTGTTTTTCTTGCAGAAAGATATGCTGAGGTATTGTGTAGGTATAAACCCAATGGCCAAATATTTATGAAATATTTATATTGGCTTGAAGAGCCTGTACATCACCATGGGGAAAAGATACATCAAAATAAATGGAAGTCACTGCAGTTAAGTAAATGGAAGTCCAGTTCAGTTAGATAAATTTTTTAAAGCACCAAAAAAAAAGAATGTAACATTTATATTTTCCCCAAACTAAGCTCACTGTTAACCTAGCTGGTTCTCACCAGTCATAACCCAGGGAGATGGTCCTTAGAAAGATCCGGTTTCTTTGTTTTCTGCTCACGGACTTTGATACCGGTCTAAAGGGGAAACCACATCTGTTGGATTTCTTTTATGTACTTTTAAATTTTATTTTATGATTATATTTTTTGATACAGGGTCTCCCTGTGTAGTCCAGGGTGGCCTTGAACTCACTATGTAGCCCAGGCCTCAAACTTGCAGTGATCCTCATGTCTCAGCCTTCCAAGTGCCAGAATTACAGGCGTACGCCACCACGCCCTACTTAGATTTCTTTTCTTGATCTAACACGTTTAGATGTGACTCTGGCACGTGCAAAATATGTGCAGTCAGTGTCTAAACCACATCTCCAGGTGTTTTGGTTGTTTTTGCAGATGCAGCCTTACGCTGCAGATGTCACCACTGAGGCGGACATGTTGCTTCAGGGTTGTGAAGATGCAATGTTTTGATAAGAGTCACACTAAAGATGGATAGAAGTTTAAGGGTTAAGTTACTTTTGACATCTAAGATACTCATTTACAATATAAATAATCAATACAGAAGTAATTATTAAATAGTTAACAATGCTAGTCGCTCATCAGAGTGCGTGTATAAGAGCCTGGGTTCATCTGAGAGACCACCACCTAACTTAAACACACGCTCAACGTGGTTCCTCCTTGATGCTAACATCTTTTTTTTAAAGGAAAAAAATAAAACAAAATAATAGAAGAATAACAATAGTTAATACACTGCATATTGTTATCTTCAGAGTAGTTGCTCAGAGTTCAAAATTTGGCATAAAAAATTCTCCAAACAATATTAGTGCAAATCTTTCTTTTCAGTGAACGAAGAGAAGCTAGTAGTATAATTTCCTTGTATTTTTTTCCTTTTTCCTTCCTCCCATTCCTCTTTCCCCAACCCTAGTTTCTCCTTTCTTTTGAATATTATCCTCTCATTTCACAATATCCATTGTACATTTTGGACTTTATTTACTCTTTCAGTTTCTAGTGTAGTTTTTGTTTTTTGTACTGGGACTAAAACTCAGGACCTCATGCTTGCCAGGCAGGTGCTATGCTCCTGAGCTAAATCCCCTGTCAACTCTCTTGGTTTCTCACACCAAGGAGACAATTCAGTGTTTACACATGTGAGTGATTTATTTCACTTGTGAGTATGGTCTCAAGTTGCATCCATTTACCTATAAAGGTCCCAAGTTTATCCTTCTTTATGGCTGAGTAGTATTCCATTGTATAAAAGGACTGTATCTTTTTTTATCCATTTCTTGGTTGATGGGCATTTGGGTTGTTTCCAAGATTTAGCTATGACAAACTGTGCTGCTGTAAACATGGGTGCACATATATCACTGTGATATGATGTTTTTAATTCTGGGAAGATACCCAGAAGGGGACTAGCTGGGTCAAATGTAACCTCTAATCCTAGTTTTTTGAGGAATCTCCACAGTGGTTGCACCAGTCTGCATTCCTACCAGCAGTGGAGAAGAGTTCCTTTTTCCCCTCAGCCCCTCCAGCATTTGTTATTGGTTGATCTCTCGATGATAGCCATTCTTTCTGGAGTGAAAATGGCATTGTTTCACTTTCTGGAGTGAGAATCTCAGCATTGTTTTAATTCATCTCTCTAATAGTGATTTTGAACATTTTTCATATATTTATTTGGCATTTGTATTTCTTCATCTGGCAAGTGAGTATTCATTTCAGATGCACATTGGATTGGGTCTTTAAGTTTGGGGAAGTCCGATTCTTTTCAGTTCTTTATATGTTCTAGATATAAGTCCTTTGTCTGAGCGACGATTGACTAAAATTTTTTCCCACTCTGTGGGTTGTGTTTTCATTTTGTTGGTGATTTCTTTCGTTATGCAAAAGCTTTTAATAAGGTGAGATCCCATTTGTTGATTCTTTGTAATATTTCCTTTATAGTCTGGCTTTTATTCATGAAGTCCCTACCTACACCTATGTTTTCAGTATTTCTGCCTTACTTTTGTTGGCCAGGGTTGACTTTGCTCTTCTAGGTCTCTTCTATTTTCTTTTTTTGGTTTTTCTCCGGTACCGGGAACCGAACTCACGACCTTGCGCTTGCCAGGCAGGCACTTTTGCCGCTGAGCTAAATCTCCAGCCCCGGTCTCTTCTATTTTCAAATGAATTTTAGGAATATCTATTTTCAAATGAATTTTAGGAATATTTCTCTAGTTCCCCAAAGTATGCTGTTGTGGTTGATACATTGTGTCAACTTGAGCGGTTTGGCTAAGTGACTCAGCAGTTCTGCATCCTGAGCCTGTGCAAGAGGAGCACACAGAGATGGTGTGGGCGTGGGCAGGTACCCAGCATACAGTATAAGAAGGGAAAGGAAGCCTGTTCCTCTCCCCTTTTTTGCTCTTGCTGCTTTTGCTGTTTTCTGCTGCCATGAACTGTTGCCCTTTGCCGTTGCCACTCTGTGGTAGAGCCAGCTGAGTATGGACTGAAACCTCCACAGACTGTGAGCTAAATAAACCTTTCCTTCCTTAATTCTGGGCATCAGGTATTTTGTCTCAGCAACGAGAGAAAAGTAACCAAGACATATGCTAATGGTATTTTGATTGGGATTACATTAAATCTGTACAACAATTGGGAGCATGGCTATTTTCACTATGATGCTAACATCTTTACTGAGAAATAAGGTTCACAGGAAGGTGGTCTCCCTGAAGAATGTTTACTACCTGCATGTAAAGTTTGTTTGGCACCATTACAAAACTGTGTCATCAGGTCTTCCAGAGTGTTTCCCATTTAGTGACTACAGTGTCCTCATACTATGCAATAATGTTAACGTAGCATATTATTCTACTATGTAGATATCATAGTTTATTACATTACTATATATTATATATGTATATTGTATATATGTTAATCTTATAATTGGAAACAAATAAAATACATAGCACATATTCACATATATTACATATAGAATATTGCCAAGTGTAAAAAAGGTTTTCCAGACCCACATAAATACACATACATAAATGTATACACACAGGCCCTGACCTTGGAATTGTTTGCCCTCACACTGATTGGAAAGCAGTCCACGTTCACTAGGAACAAATCTGGAACTTTGATTGTCCCCAGGCTGTCAGTATGTGGAGCCACACCCGGCCTATTCCCCTCCTCAGCAGCAGCCAGATTCTGTCTGTGTCTGTTGTGAGTTGTTGGTGGACAGCTTCCCGCCTTTCTCCCGGTGTCGTACTATAGCGTCCTGGGCCCAGGAGGGCTTATGCACTTCTTCCGTGGTGAGGTACCCCGTGCTTCTGTCCTGAAGCAGTGGAGTGTAACCTGCTCGCTGGAGTAAGAAAGGTTTCTGCTCCCTGAATTGCTTCTGCCCCTCCTGCACTGGGTGGGAAGGGAAGGAATTTACTGTTCTCAAGCCATGTAAGGCTTTGCTTCATATGGCAAAGGGATCCAGGAAAGTCTGTGGTGTGCCATGCCTGCCCCCCAGCAGCTGCCAGCCACCTGCCCCGTGGTACTCCTATGGTGAGTGCCGTCCCTGGACTCACTCCCCTACTCCTTCTGGTGGACCCAGTGGAAAGAAGAGTGTGGAGAAAAGCTTATGAGAATATGTAAGTTCTTCGTGGGTTGGAAGTTTCCAGTTATTCTAAACCAATAAGCTTGCCCACTTTCACCCTGTAGGAATTCACAGAGTATCTACATTGCCATCTGTCCTCAGAGGGGCTCGTCACTCTGGAATTCAGTTCATTTGGTTGATGGGTTCAAGACAGTTATTAACATTATGGATTATTCAGTGCATTATAACAAAAGTGGCGTCATCTTGCAGCTACCTTTATTCTACCTAGAAATGCACCAATACCCTTAAGTGATAGCCTGTCAGACGAACCCTGGCTTTTACATATACACATTCTTTAAAGGCTTACACTATTGACTGTAATAATTGTCCCTTCAGAGCCAGTCATGGTGGTACACACCTACAAGTCTGGCCACTTGGGAGAGTTATGCAGGAAAATCACAAGTTCAAAGCTAGGCTGGGGAACTTAGACCATATTTTAGAGTAAAAATAAAAAGGACTGAGGATATAGCCCTGGGTTCAATCCCCAGTACCATAACAAATAAACAAATAAAAATAGCATTTGCACTCTTGTTTATTTCCATCAGGCAATGGATATCCTTGATGTCAAAAGTAATCATTTAAACCTTAAGCCTACATTAATCATTAATGATCTGTATCCTGAGATAAATATACTAGATTTTCCTAATAGTATGAAATAGCAGATATCATTGCAGGTGTTGAGAGAGTCTGTGTAGGTATCAGAAATATGTTTGTCTACCTTCTCTTTTTTCTACCTTTGCCAGTCGTGAGGTTTCCACCTTCTGTGATGATTATCAGTACCCCACTCAAAGACAAAATAAAATTAAAAGTTTACTACAGGCGAGAAAATTAAATGAAGAATGAGCTTGGGGAAGCCAGTCTCATTCTTCAGCTACTGGACCCCTGGAGGTTGGCGAAGCTGTGGGCCGCTGTGCAGAGGGCTCCTGAGGCCTCTGTGTAGCAGGGCACTCGGGTGCGTGACCACAGGAGGAGTACATTGAGTGACCCAGCCACCAAAGACCACCCCTGCTGTCCTCCCACAGACTCTGCTCTGACCCGTCACTGGTGAATGTTCTCCTCGAGCACCGTCAATGTGTCTTCTAGGTGCTATTATCATTTTGGGGGAAGAACTTGAGAGGTTGTAATTCAAGGCTCTTATAAAACAGGAGGTATCAGCTGCCAGAGCTTTTGAACTGCATGCTCAGTCATACGTTTGTGTTTCAGGATGTCTTTACTGTAAGTGTTGGAAACTTGCCCCCTCAAGCCAAGGTTCTGATGAAAATTACCTACATCACAGAACTCAGCATTCGAGGCCCTGTTGCTGTCTTCTTCATGCCTGCTACAGTGGCACCCTGGCAACAAGAGAAGGCTTTAAATGAAAACCTTCAGGTTCGTGGGGCTGGGGATTTTGCTCAGCGGCACAGTGCCTGCCTGGCAAGCACAAGGTTGTGAGTTCGATTCCCGGTACCGGAAAAAAACAAAAAAAAAACCAAAAAAAACCTTCAGGTTTGTGTGCTTAAGATTTAAATGGTGTTTAGGGTACAGCTTAATGGTAGAGCATTTGCCCAGCTTGTGGGAGACCCCAGCATTTGATCTCCATCACTGCAAAAAGAACACCAAAGGAAAGACGAAAAATGTCTAGAACAGTCTTCTCAGTGGAAAGTCAATCATTGATTTGTGCACTTAGATACATGCAGTGTTTATAAAATCAAACAGATACGCTCAATGAACATAATAGTTTTTTTTCCAGTCACATAAGATAGTTTTGTATCTGTACTGTATGAGTTCATCTCAAAGAATTAGAGAAGTACAGAGAGTGAAAATAAACCAAAAAGGGAAAATTTAAAAACCATATTTAATCTTATCACCCAGAGATAACTACTAGTTTATACTTAGGTATATATCCTCCAGACTCCTCTCTGTGTGCACACATAGAAGAGAGACAGGTGGAATTGAAAATCTCTACCAGAATGGTCAGGAACGATCCTGGTGTGAGTTGTGGCTGTAAGTTCCTGTCATGTCATGAGCAAAGGCACTGTGTTTCACTGTAGGTGAGACCATCCGTCTTGTGCTGCTGTTGGCTGCTACTTTGCTGAGGTCACCTCCAGTTTAGAGCTTACTGTGAAGCATAGCAAATACGCTGCTATACACACATTTTTGTCTTAACAGGATGCTGTAGAGAAGATCTGTATAAAGGAAATAGGAACAGAGCAAAGGTTAGTACCTGAAATATAAACATATCACTCATCCAGTGGATGTTAGTTTTGTGGTTTGAATTTTCATTTCAAATTATTTGAAGGACTGGGTTGTAGTTCCCTGGGAGAGTGCTTGCCTAACATCGTGAGGCCCTGGGTTTGTTCTCCAGCACTGCCAGAAAATTTTTTTGAAACAACTACAGGTAGAATAGTGAAGGTATTAGACTAAGACAATTTTCTCTCGATTTTTGGTAGCTTCTCCTTGACTGTGTCTATTGAGATGCCATACGTGATTGACTTCATTTCCAGTGATACACATACATTGAAACAAAAGGTGAGTGAGTCTTTGATTTCTTAAGAGCTCTTACTTTAGCGTTAATTTTATTGTATCAAAAAATGGAAGTTGAGCATGATGCACCTGCCCATAATCCCAGCCACTCAGGCGGCTGAGGCAAAGTTACCATTTTCATTTGCTTGAGTTCCATCCCATTTCTTCTCTTGTATTCTAATACATCAGTAAAATTCCCTTCAGTACTATTTTCATATTTGTGGTGAATGCCACAGATGATCCATTTGCTTTATTTTCTCTATAACCTCCTTTCCTCTCTGCTGCTGCTCCTGCTCCCGCTCCAGCCTCCCTTTAGTATTCTCATTAGGGGAGCCTTTTATCTTTAACATCCCCCTTTTTTTCTTGTCAATGCTAAGGATTGAACCCAGTCCTCATACAAGCTAGACAAGTGCTCTGCCCTGAGCTGTGCCTCCAGCCCTGTGTGTCCTTTTCCTTGTGTTCTCTCCTCAGGGCAGCACACCCTCCACCAGCTTCCTGGGTGTGTGTGTGTGTGTGGTAGTATCTGGGAATTTCTGCATTTTCTGTGCACACTTGACCCTTTAGGGAGGTGTGGAGTCCTGGGTTGGAAATCTCCTTTTCCTGGAATCCTGAAGGCATTATTCCCTAGCTTCCAGGATTACTTTTTAGAAGTGCAGGGATATTTTATTTCCCTTATTCTTTGTGTGTGATTTGTTTTAATTTTTAAAATTATAGAAGAGTTTCATATCTTCTCTTAATTCCTGGGATTCTGAAATTTCTTAATAATGTGGTATTTATTCATTGTGTATAACTCATGGCCATTACTTCTTGGGAATTTTATTATATTTTTTTAAAAATAAATTGTGCCAGCTGGGCACACTGGTATGCACCTGTAGTCCCAGCTGTTTGCCAAGCTGAGGTAGAGCTCAGGAATCTGAGGGCAGCACAGTGAAACTGGTCTTACTTATTTCTGTTGCTTTGTCTTTTGATGGTGGGAGTTGAAACTACGATCTTGCACATGCTAGACAAGGGCACCGCTGCTGAGCTGCACTCCCGGCCCGGCCCCAGCAGTCAGTCAGTCAGTCACTCAAACAAGTGACTTGCTCCTCTCTTACTTTCCTGCAATACCTTCTAATAAGTACACCCTGGAGCAAGACCCATGTCTTAAGTTCTCCCTCCTGTTGCTCATTTTATTGTCTTTTTGTTCTTGTTTCTTAGTGATTTTCTTCAATTTTGTATTCCAACTATTCTGCTGAAATTTTTACTTCAGTTCTCTTGTGGTGGTCCCCCACCTCATATAGATACTAGGGATTAAATCCAGGGCCTTGGCACTGAGCTCTAGTCTCAGTTCTGTTTTTATTTTTCTTATTTTTGAGCCTGGGTCTCACTAAACTATACGCGCTAGACTCGAACTTGGGACTGTCCTCCTAGGCATCCCAAAGTAGCAGGGTTACCCAGCATGCAGCACCGCACCTGGCTGTCTCCTGTGTTGTGTTTATTGGAGTTCCAGCCTCTCAGACGCTGGGATTACAGGTGTGTGCCACAATGCCTGGTTTGGGAACACTTTAAGTATATTTTTTCCCCTGTTATCTGTGTCTCTTCTCTTTCCCCCTTTGGCATTTCGTTTGTTGGTCCCATGTTTTGTGTCACAGAGGCTTCCCCCAAACGTGTCGGGACACTCTCTGTGGACACAGCAGGTTAGTTTGCAGCTATGTGGTTTTGGTGGGGATGGCACGGGTCCGTGTCACAGGGTGCTAGCTTCCCCTCACCCCTGTGGGGAGCAGCCCTGCACAGATGTTACACCAGCACTCCTAGTCTGGGCTGTTTGGTTGAATATCTCCAAGTAGTAATCTTCAGTTTCCTTTAGTGAGAAATCAAGGGATAAAGACGATTTCACAGTCTACTATGCTGTCTTCGTTGTTTCAAAGCTTGTCATCTACATTTTGAGATTGTTTTATATTTACAAAAGTTATAATTCTAGCATTTCTGTTGAATGTTCCATTTTACTATTCCAGGGTCTGTGCACATCCCGACAACTGTAACTAAATACACAGATTGTTAATCTTTAGATTCATACTTTGGACTGTCTCTAGTTTACCTAAATTTGACTCTGTAAGTCAGCCTTAGAATTTCAGGAGAGAACTGTATGAATAATGATCATAGGTCTGAAAGTATTATTTCATGATTTTGGAATTTGTTACTATGTTTCTGACTCTTAATGAAGTTATTTAAATATACAAAGTTTTTCTAATTCATAGGTAAGTGAAATGGGTGATATGGTATCACTCCATTATTTACTGTGTTGTATGGTTGTTTGCTTTGTAGTGCACAGACTGCAGAGCTGTAATTAGCACCGTGGAAGGCAGCGCCTTAGACAGCAATGGATTTTCTCTCCATATCGGTTTGCGTGATGCCTATCTCCCAAGAATGTGGGTTGAAAAACATCCAGAAAAAGAAAGTGAGGTATACTCCTTCTTTCTTAGAAGTATGAGACACTATTGGAAAAGTACTTCAGAATAACTATAAGCTTGGAAATGATTGATAGTCCTGAAAAACCAGCATTATCTAGTGAGCTGTGGTTGTGCAAGGTTCCTCAATCAAAAATGTTTATGTCAAGAATCACAGACTAACATGCCTCTTCACGGTAGCCCGCCCTACACCGTAGGGTATATTTTTATTTTCCCTCCCTTTCCCTTCCTTTTTACTTGGCCCAAACTCGCTCTGCAGACCCTGTCTTTCCTCTACCTTTTCTGGTTTTTTTCCTACCTTTAATAAATGTGAAACCCTGCCACAACTTCAAGTCACAAAGTTCTGCTGGGCACAGTGGTGCATGGCTATAATCTCAGCACTTAGGAGGCTGATACAGGAGGTTCACTACGAGTTTGAGATCAGCCTAAACTATATACATTAGGGAGATTCTGTCTCTAAAAAACAAGTGAATGAATAAATAAGTGGGGATATAACTCAGTGATCTGCACAGGCCCTGAGTTCAGTCAGCGTTCAGTACCATGGGGGTGGCTGGGAAGAATCACTAACTTCTGAGGTTTCAACGAAAACCTTTGTGTAGCCTATTTCCCTCACAAAGATAATAGCTTTTACTTTAATCTCCTCCAAAAAGAAAATCTGCCACCAATGGCTGTTAGTCTGTATACTTTTTAAATAGTGGGAAAATTATAAGATCATTTAACGTGGTTGTAACAAAGGATGGCTTTTTTTTTTTTTTTTCTTTTTCACAATATACAGGGTTTGGGCCAGCAAACCCCGACAGAGAGACGAGTGAAAAGTGTGCGAGATCGAGTATCTCTGAGGGTCGGGACCCACTGAAACGGAGCCCTGAGCTGACTCAGACCCCCAGGTTTAGTGAGGAGCAGCAAAGGCGTAGCATTCTGCCGGGCACAGACATTTGTTTTAAGTAGAGGGCAGGCAAGCAAGGCCTGGTGACAGTTTGGCTGAGTAATTAACTTTTACCTGATTGTCCCCTAAGGAGCTTCCTTTTTCACTCTTAAATTAAGGTCCATCTCTGCTGGAGTTGACAAAACATTGTCTTTAAGATTTTTCAGCTCTTTGCAGTTAGCAGTCTTCTGCCTCCCCAAGTCAGCCCAAGTAGACATTGACGGTTGGGTGTGTCCAGGAACTCCACGACAATATTATAAACCCAGGGCCTTTCATGCTGACCTGTAGCCCCACCCCTTTTTAATTTTAGAGATAGGGTCTTGCTAAATTGTCCACATTGAGCTTAACCTTAGGATCCTCCTGTCTCAGCTTCCCATAGTGTTGGGATTACAAATGTAGACTACCATGCCAGGCTAGAATTGCTTCTTCAGTTACAATGAAAACTGAAACTTTTGTGGTACTAATTGTATTTTCAGTATAGTGGCTGATTAAGAGGTACCTATATATGTTTTATGTTTTTTTTTTTTTTCCGGTACCGGGAACTGAACTCATGACCATGTGCTTGCCAGGCAGGTGCTGTGCTGCTGAGCTAAATCCCCAGCCCTACCTGTGTATGTTTTAGTAATCGCAGGAACGTCTATATTTCTTTTTTTGATTGTTTGGGTTTTTTTTTTTTTTTTTTTTTTTTTTTTTTTTCCTTTTTTTAAGGCAGGGTATCCCTATACAGTTCAGGTTGGCTTTAAATTCACTACGTAGCCCAGGCTGGCCTTGAACTCATGGAGATCCTCCTGCCTCAGTCTCTAAAGTGTTTGAGTTATAGGCCTACGCCACCATAGCTGGCCATTTTATTCTTTATATGAACTCCTGCTAGACTGTCTTGTTATTGAATAAATCTTGTTTTTCTTTTATCCCATTAGTTTACCTTACTAGAAAGTTTTAGAATTTTATGAGTAATTGTTTTCCAGATTGCGTGACAAGAAGCTGTGGCCAACCACCTTTCTTTCCTTTTAGGCTTGCATGCTGGTCTTTCAACCTGATCTCGATGCCACCCTTCCTGGCCCAGCCAACAGGAATGAAGTGGTTATTTGTCTTGATTGCTCCAATTCCATGGAGGGTGTAACATTCACACAAGCCAAGCAGATTGCCCTGTATGCATTGTCCTTGGTGAGTGAGGAGCACAAAGTCAATGTCATCCAGTTCGGCACAGGTGAGTGCATTGCCCCAGTCCCACATGTGCGTCTTCCTTCACTCGAGCACACGCCACATTGACTGAGGACTGTTGGCACCTGACTTTGTCTGTGGAGTTGGTAGTAGCTGAGAAGAGGCAGAAGCACAAGAGCTCTGAGGCCAAGGATGGGGTGTTCAGTGGGGGAGCACTTGGCTGGCCTGCACCCTGCGTTCCATCCCTAGCACCACAGAGGGGGAATGAAAGGAACTTTCTGGAGCCAGATCCCCTGGCTCTGGATCCCGCCTGTCACCTTGAGCAAGCTGCTGGAACTTGGTACCTTAGCCTCCTCATCTACAGTTTGGGGATAATAGTCCCACCTCATAGGGTTGTTGTGAGGACAAGCTAATGTATGGCAGGGATTTAAAACAAGGCTGCTTCCACAGTAGGAGAAACACAAATGTTACTACTACTGTTACCAACTACACCAAATGCAAGACACTTTGTCTGCTGAGTAGGGAGTTCCCAGGAGTGAGGGCAGACATGTACAAACAGCAGACAGAGAAAGCTTGAGAGGAGCAGTCCTGGGGAGCGAGGAAGGAAGGAAACGCCACGTTCCAGCTGAGGGCCCATGGGCTACTGAAGAATATGGCATTTCAAGGATGAGACAAGCATGAAGTGGAATGACGGGGCAAGTCTGTCCTGTGACTCTCATCTTCTGTGCTGTCTTACAAAGGCGCTTTACGGTGGAGCCAGGGTCTGCTCCCTGGGGGAGGAGCCCAAATAGGTGGGGGGAGGGAGAGGATATGGATGGAGCCTGCACCTTCTGTGCTCTGGTGGCGAACATATGGCCCACATGTTATTTGTTTTTCTTTGAAGACAAAAGATTGTATGAGTTGTTTTTCCTAAACTAAAATCTCAGGATTCAGGTATAATTGCAGTGTTGGCGCTATGAAATAAGTGGGCTTTGGGTTGGCTCGTCTCTGAAAGTTTCCCCATCACTGCCATAGGGGCTGAACCTCCCCTGCCGCCACGGTATCCCTTCACCTTGCTTTGCAAGGTGGTGCAGCGACCCTCACAGGGAATGTGACTCAGAACATTTTGCGTAGTAAAGTGCATAATTCAAATACCCTGGAATGTATTATTTAGAGGTGAGTTTTTGTACGTTAAAATGATCACACATAGTTTTCTGAAAAGTATGTACATAAATATATAGCATTCTTTATAGTGGCAGCACTGGTATAAAGTAGCATTATTGTTTGCTTATAGTCATCCAGTGAATGTTTAATGGAAACACCTCATGCCCATCTTATCATACAGGTTACAAAGAGTTATTTTCCTATCCTAAGCACATCATGAGTAACAGTGTACCAACAGAGTTCATTAAGGTAAGAGAACCATCTCCATTCCCAGAGGATTTTCTGTGCTGTGGATGTGTTAGCATTCTAATACCATAACAAATGCCTGAGATAAATCAACTTATAAGGAGCAAAGGTTTATTTTGGCTCATGGTGGTGGTCTGGTCTGTTAGCTTCGTTGCTTTGGCTTAGTGGCAGTGCAGTATGTCGTGGTGGAATGGCCCTGTTTATTTCATGGTGACTGGAAAGCAAAGGGACACAATGGAGCCTGGGTCCCACATGCCCATTAAGGATACAGCCCCAGTGGTTACCGTCTCTCCAGTAGCTCCGCCACCCAGAGGTTCCACCTCCAGTAGCACTGCAGGGTGGTGAACAATCCTTTAGCACATGAGCACTGGGGGACACTTACCCAAACCACACAGGGGCCTCATATAATAATAATAAATAAAAATGATAACTAAGAAACTGCAAATTAAAAAGTAAGAGAAGACTTTCTCATGGTCCCAATGTCCAATGGGACTAGCTTAGCAAACTGAAGTTTTCTTAGTCCCCTGTTTTCTGTCTCTCAGGATAGAGAAAGCGGAGAACAAGCAGTCGCCACCTCAGTCCCAGCTGCCCACCTGGCAGTGCTCCAATAGCTGTTTCTTCCCATAGATGATCATTTTTTGAATAGATGCCCAGCAGTGATAATGTAGTTACCATGGGCCATGAAATACACTAAAAGGATATAAGTACAGTTGTTCCACAAATGCATAATTAGGAGAAAATGTTTTTGATGACCATGCATCTTGCAGTCCTCCCTAGGAGACATGTCAGTGAAGGTTACCATGAAGGTCACCACGTCCACATGATAACAACCCTTCACTTGATCTTTTGCAGTCTGCCACACCTACAATGGGGAACACAGACTTTTGGAAAACACTTCGATACTTAGGGTTAATGTACCCTTCCCAAGGAGTCCGGAATGTCCTCCTCATATCTGACGGGCACCTCCAGAATGAAGGCCTGACACTGAAGCTTGTGAAGAGAAATGTCCTCCATACAAGGCTGTTCACCTGCGGGGTCAGGTAAGCCAGAGACCTGTCACCCACCCAGTGAAGAGACCATTTGCAGGAGGGGATTTCTCTCTCTCTCTCTCTTTTGGTTTGTTTGTTTTTGAGACAGCATCTCACTTTGCAGTCAAGGCTGGCCTCAAATGCAGTGATCCTCTTGCCTTAGCTTCCCAAGTGCTGAGATTACAGGTGTGTGTCACCATGCCTGGCTTGGGCAGGTCTTTTATTTGACCTGCACAGGAATTTTGGAAGTTGGGGGTTGATGTGAGTATGTAATAGAAGCTGTTATCATGGAGGGGCTGAGCTCTGGGCTCTGGGCCAGACTGCCTGGATCTCAAATCCCAGTAACTGTGACCTTGGGTAAATTGTTCAGCCTCTTCTTTGTGAAATGAAGGTGAATTTGAAAATACCTATTAGGTTATAGGAGTAGTGCTAAATTTATGGCACGGGTGTTACTTGTTTTCCTTTTAAGACAGAAGATGTTAAAATATGAGTTATTTTCTCTAAGTGAAAACCACAGTATTCAGGTTTAATGGCAGAGTTGGCACTTTTCAAAAAATGAGTGAATCTGGGGTTGCAGTCTGGCCCCACTGGGTTATAAGATTTCTGAAGGTTATTGCTTTGTGTAGTAGTCAGGTGTGGACCTCATCTGTGCAGCCTGGCATAGCTCCTGCTGGCTGACTGGACTCAGTGGGGGCTGCACCCCTCTCCTGCCTTGCTCCCTGTTGTTTCTGAGCTGGCCACTATGAGCATTTGCATTTCCAAACCTGGTGGTGTACACAGAATCTTTTCTATAGGGGCGCAGACTCCAGGACTGTTGGAATTACTCCCTCCCCCAAAGGCATCCACACAGAAGGAAAACAAAGAGTAGATGGGGTTCTTGGGGTTTATGCAGAGCCCCAGCCCAGCAGGTGTCTCTGCTCCTCAGAACACTGTGGGAATCCTGTGCTGTCTCTGAGTGAGCCCTGACTCCCAACCCCCTGGTGCTCCAAAAAGCCTGCCCCCCATGGTCTGGTCCTCTGTGGCCCTTGATGCCCCCCGCCTCCCTGCCTCTTGTCCACCTCACTGCTATACTCGGGTCAGATCTGCCTTCCCCTGGGCCACTCTTCAGTCTCAGCTCCTAGTCTGGTCCTCCGTAACCCAAGGCCTAACTGAGCATCATGGACCAAACAGAACATGCATCTGCTCAGTAGGGACTCTACCAGCTCTCGCCTGGGGACTTAACCGCTGAGTTCACAACAGCACTCGGGGCACAAGCACCTGTTCCTGCCTTACTCGCTGAGGGCCCATCCATGAACAGAGTGGGTCTCACTAAGTCACTAAATGACCGTCCTGGGCTTGATCTTAGAATCCTTCTGCCACAGCCATCCTAAAAGACACACGTGCACACCACACTGTGATGGGAGTTCTTACACGTAGCTGTAGAACTACTATTGAGAGAAACTTAGACACTGCCATTTAAATGTCAAAGATGAAGAAATGATGTTCTTTGCTAGAGCAAGAATTAGTTGGCTTTTTGCTTGTTGGGGGAAGGACTCACTGTGTTGCCCAGGCTAGTCAAAAACTCCTGGTTCAGCTGGGTGTTGGGGGGCATGCCTGTAATCCTAGCACTTGGAGAGTGAGGTAAGAGGATTACCAGAGTTGGAGTCAGCCTGGGCTACATAGTGAGATCCTGTCTCAGAAAACAAAAACCGTGTGGTTCAAGTGACCCTCCTAGCTCTGCCTCCTACACAGCTGGGGCTGCAAATGGGAACCACACACCAGGCTGAGAGTTCTTTTGTTATAGATTTTGCTGTGGAGATGTATGTCAAATTTTAAGATACAGATTTCATTTACTTTTGCAGTTGTTGGCTTTTGGCATCAAATTCAGGTAATTTTGACATTTTTTGAGACTAGGTTGATATCTTCAGCAAGTACCCTTCTGGCATCTTTCTGAGTTGTTTGTTTTTAAATACTACATCTTGATTGATTGATTGATTGATTGCGCTGGGGATCAATGCTAGTGCCTCACACATGCCGGGCAAGCTCTGTGTCTCCCATCCCGGCCCCATTTTATCTCTAACCTCAGCTACAGAGCAGTAAATCCTTCTTCATGCAATGGCTTGTCTGTTAAGCTGTGAGTTTTCTTAACATTTTTAACATATACTTTAAAAATGTATCTAAAATTTGTGGAAAATTAAAACTTGTGAAATGTGATCAGTCCTACAGCCAATCGTCATGTCTTAAGGAATTTGTCCCAGTGTGGTGCTGGAGTATTTGAATATTTTAACTCAAAATCCAAACACAGCTGGAAAAAACAGGTATGTTTTAAAACAACTTCAGTCATGTGTTTACTGTGGAAATATCTTCTTACAAGTCTGACAGTAACTTCTGTATTCTCATGAGTAGATAGAGAAGCTAGGCAAAGGCAAAATCTGCCAAAGATGTGAACTCTACCCTCCGGTTGCGCTAATTTTGCAGCTATCCGGAACAGAGTCGTTCCTTAACTAACTAGTAGTTTGATATCTGCTTATAATGACATATCATAAATTGATTGTTTTGCCCTTCTAAAATTTTTTTATTTTGAGACAGTCTTACCAGGTCCCTAAATCCTGTACGCTGGGCTTAAACTTGTGATCCTCTGCTTCAGCTTCCCAGAACGCTGAGATTATGAGCGAGTGCCATGCTGCTGACTCATAGATTGATTTTTTTGTGATGTATATCAGTTCTCTATCCGTACATTCTACATCCACAGGGATTCAAACAACCACAGATGAGAAAATACTTTTTAAATTTGTGTCTGTTCTAAATGTAAACAAACATTTTAGTTGATATAATTCTCTAGATAATATGACAGCTGTTTACATAGCCTTTACTTGGTATTAGGTATTCTGCATAGTATAAAGACGATTAAAAGTATGATGGATGTTCAGAGATTCTAACAAATGCATCACCTCTTTCTATAAGGATTTGAGTGTCTTCAGATTTGGTGTCTAAGGGATCCTAGAACCTGTCCCCTGCATGTACTAAGGATGGGCTCTATGCTGTTCTAGGATTCAGGTTTTGTTGTTGTAAAAGATACAGAAACTGTACCATTTTAACTTTTCCTTTTGTGCTGGGGGTCAAAGCCAGGGGCTTGGTCATATTAGCAAGTGCTCTACTACTGAGCTACATCCCAGCCCTTCAGCCATTTTTCAGTGTGCAGTTAAGTGGTATTGATAGAATACACTTCACAACCCTTCCTCCATCTCGCTCAGTCCTTTTTCATCATGACAGACAGAAACTCTGTAGCTATCTGTCTTGGTTCCTTTTCTCTTGTTGCTGGGTCAAAAT